CCTGCATTGACATTATAGAGGGGAAACAAGAAAAAGAAAAAAACTTGCATAACAATAAGTGTATTGTGATTGTCAAAACATTTGGTAACTAAAAAGAAATGTATTAAGCTTAGTGACAACATGTTATAATGTTTACATTGTACAATGACTGGTAGGCTACTGTTTTTATTATTGCTTGACACAAATGTCACAATTCAATTTTGTGATTTGATTCCGATGCTGAATGCGTGAGAGTTGGCAGCCCTGTTATTATTATCAATGATGAAAACAGTTGTGCTGCTTAATATTTTTGTCGAAACCATGACACCTTCTTTTAGGATTTTTTGATGCACTTACAAATGAATGTATGTCATTATATTAGATACAAAGTATTAAACAAACATAGCTCTTTTATTCTCAAATGTTTTGCTTGAAAATAGTGTTTTTGTTGTCCATCATTAAAATAAATGGTACTTGGATTTTATTCTATGATGCATTGAGATTCATTTTATTTTATTTTATGTCTAAATACCTTTTGAGGTCACTATATTATAACAAAAATATTTTTAAAAAAGTGATAACACTATTTTGGTAACAATTTAATAACACTTTTTTAACTACACATTACAAACAAACTTACACGTACAAATCAATGGGTCAAGTTTGATTGGCTAACATAGCTATGTTAGGCCCTTCTGGTAAATATCGTAACTCTATTGAAAGGCATTCCATATTTGTTTTCACATGCATTTCAATTGCAAATATTTTACCGGTGGAATTCTTTGGAGAGCTATTAAAAGTGCAAAATAGACATGGTGCTGTCATGACATCATACTTTCTCCAGGTATTAGAGTACATATTGCGACCTCCCAGTCAGTAATTACACTAAAAAACAGTTATTGATGCCCAACACTAGGGCAGATAGTCTCTTAGTTCAGTGAATGGATGGTGTAGAACATTTGATTGCTACAGGTCCAGTCTGGCTTGAACCCAAACCATTTCTGTCAGTCTAGGGATGCCATGAAATTAGGATTTGTTAGTAAACAAACTCTCATTAACCATTTATTAATGTTCAAACTTATGAAAGTTTCAGTTCAGAGTGTTTCTCACGTGTCGCTCCAGTTTTTTCTTCCTCCAACTGTTCTGCGATCAGCTACGGACAGTGTATGAGTGCTGTAATGAGGTCAGCGAACCGTGACGAGGTGACAGCGCTGTTTGAAATGTCTGTAGCTATTGCCCACGGCTCACAGTGCACGATTTATTTCCCTCCATCACAGGAAAAGTCACATCCCATCTCTCTTAGGACAAAGCAGAAAATGAGAAAAACATCCAAATTGCAGCTGACGTGGGTAGCGGTGGCTGTTTGAGACATCGGTGCTACCTAGGCTGGCGGTCATTGGCTTGTCTGTCACCATGCCAACCCTGAGAGAACATATTAATGAGACCAAAATACTGCTCAAACTGGCATCTCTTCTCATTTCACATAATTCGTCTTACTAAACGGCCACTGGCGCACGGAAGTATTGGGTAATGCCAGCACAGAAAGAGAGAGTTGCTCTATTCTTAGAAAGGAAACCTGAAGAATTTGCGTTGATCAATATATCAGCTCTGTTCACTGACGCAAAAGGGGCAGTGTTGGTTTCCCCTCAAATATTTTTAACACAGCCTATGCTTTCACTTGCTTCTTCATGTTGTACTGAATATCAGGCTGAATATTTTTACATGAACGCTGATGTGACATGATACTACCACATTAAGGTGTGGAAAAGCTCAAAGCATGCTAATTTTGCACATTAATATCCTGCAAGGGAATATGTGCAACTGCTGAATGCAGGTAACGCCGTCACTTCAGTCATAAGCAATCCATCTAAATCTAGAATACACATTGGCTCACTTGACAGAGCCTTCCACAACATTACCACTTAACCAATTACGAGCCAGCAGGAACATAGATCAATAGATGACATCCGTGACAGTAATGCAATAACCTAAGCAGGATGCAGACGAAAAGAGAGTGGCACATCTTCATTCAACAGCAAGGCATCATCTTTAATCTCGATTCCCACATGGCCACCAGCAAATCTAGCTCGATTTCTAGAACTCGTTTCTTCTATACATGTAACATGCAAGCAGACTCCTGTTGCTTTGACAGGCTAAATGCAGGAGCAGCAGCTACGCCATGTGTTTACATTTGCATTGAGACAGTGGCTCTTTCAGCTACCTCCAAGACAATGTCATTACATTGACCGAAAGACTGCAATACAATGAACAAGAGCAGTCACAAAAACCTCACCGAGGCAGAATGTCACTCGCTGCATGAGTGTCAAGTGACGTCAAGCTCAAAACGTCCAGCAAAACACACACTACTTATGACATTGGAGGTCCAAATGTGAGAGAGTCTTACCGTTGGTGGAGTGAAGGCTCTCCAGACTCCAGTAATGGGACATGACCCCTCGCACTGCTCTAACCCCTCCGGCCAGTCCCAGAGCGGGGCTAAAGCCTGAGTCAGAGCCAGGTGACTGCTCTGAGCTGCCACCACTGCAGCCACCTCCTGCCAGCGGGACGCCCACCTCACCGGCACTGTGCTGGGTGCGCATGTGAAAGCACAGCGAGAGGAAGAAGGGTGGCGTCGCTTCAGGCAGGTGTCTGGTCCAAAATCGAGTCTCAGAGCCTCGTGGATGTGGCGTAGCTTCAGCCCTCCTCTGTCATTCCTCAGTCGCTCTCCTGCTCTTTTACTTTCACTCTTGGATGCACAGTCTCAAAGAGCTCACGGCTCAACACAGACGCCCAGGCACACAATCAGTCTTCTCTCTCTCGCGAGCGCACACGCATACAGTCACAGGCTGGCATCACCGGGGATCGTCTAAGGGGAGGAGGACTCATACGACTCGCATGACTCAATGCGAAACGCCTGCTCTGGCATTGAAAAGAACCGCCTTCCTCCTCCCCTGCAATCCCCCCTTGAGCCCCCCTCCTCCCCTGTTAAAGCCAAGCTGTTAGTAAACCAAAAGACAGCGCCTGGAGAGAGCACTAGCGATGTCGAGAGTTGCAAACACCTTCTAAGAATTTAACCCATAATTAGCTGAGATCGCACATAAATGACAAGCCCAAAAATGTACACAAATTATCACAAACAAAGAGTGCTTGCACAGCACGCTGATCTGATTTCCACAGAAATGCTCAGAATCTCTGGAAACTATGAATAGAAAGGAATGTGGTTTGTGTGAGGCCATTCTCATTAGACTCAAACTTAAGAATCTTGACTTGGGTGAACCTTTGCAGCTGGACTATACTTTACATAACATGGGAGCTGGAGGCAGAACAAAGATAAAACTCAGGGGAACATTCCTCACATTCCTGTATATGACAGATCTGACCTGCCACTGGTTTAGATCAGGGGTTTTCAAACTAGTGTCTGGGGATCCGTGGAAAAGTTCAAAAGTTTAGAAAAACAGTGTAAAATAAAAAAATATATATAATAATAATATGATTATTATTAGAAGCAGTAGCAGTATTAGAGAGGGCCTATTTTTACCCTTTTTTACAATATGTAATATAAGTCTCAGGTGTCCCCATAATGTGTCTATGAAGTTTCAGCTCCCACAGATCAATTATTGTACCATGTTGTAAATGCCCATTTTTGAGTGAAAGGAAAAACATGCTGCTTTTCCAGAAGAGGGTGGAGCCTGTACGGCTACAGATACTCTAACAAAACATATGTTCGCTTTTGATTATCATTTCTATCCCGCCCACGCTCACGTGACATTGCAGTTCTTCATCATCATGAAAGTTTATTATCTGCATGCGTTTTAAAGCCATATCAGTCTAAACTTCTGATATATGGTTTTCAGAGCACACACACTCAAAGCACGCACAGAGAAAGCTGGATATCACACAGCACGTCCCGTGGGTATTACACGAATTTCTCTTCCACACAAGGTTTTGTCAAAAACACACAAAGTTCACATAAACACAGTTGGTTATGTCTGTGAACACCAAGTAAAGAAATCGCATGTGTATATTAGATCTGTGTATTAAATTGAAAGCAGCGTAAAATACAGTACCTACTGCTACATATGCTGTTAATATGAATTACTAACAGAAAATAACTTTAGTAACTTTAAAGGGATAGTTCACTTTGAAATTAATTTTTGATATGTTTTAGCTTACCTCAAGGGCATCCAAGATGTAGGTGTCTTTGTTTCCGCAGTATTTTCAATTTTGATATTTTTAGGTCAAACCGTTCTTGCCTGTCAGTCATATAATGCAGGTCTATGGTCACCACCTCAAAGAGCATGCACAGAGACCTAAAAATATCAAAATTGAAAACTACTGCGGAAACAAAGACACCTATATCTTGGATGCCCTTGAGGTAAGCTAAAACATACCAAAAATGTATTTCAAAGTGAACTATCCCTTTAATAAGAATACATTTCTTACTTGAATGCTGCTGATAAATGCTCTGGCGAGGAGATAAACATGGCGGACTGTGTGCTCACTAAGGTTGGGGGTCTATGCTAATAGGGCAGAGTCCGTCAGCAGTCGTGGGCATATGTGCATGTGTGACTTCACAAAAGCTACAATCTGCAAACGACTTGTTCTGATTTATGAGGATTAACAAAAGAGGAGTGGGTGGATTTTTACCATTATAGGGTGGTTGTGTACATACACTACCGACACACATTTATGTTTACATTTTATGTACAAGTGAATTTTGCATAATAGGCCTTCAAAGAAAATAAATAAGTATCATAAATATTATAAATAAAAAGTAACTGAGCCTAGTATATATACATCTCCTGGTTTACATCACACACACTTAAAAATCCAATTGGACTATTAGCCAACAAACTAATGGTCATATTAGTATTCATAAAAATGCACAAGAAAATGTGTAAAAAAACAACAGTTATAAATGCAATTAGGTCGAACAAACAGGTTTGAATGTCCCTTCAATAATTTCACGCAGGCATTGTTTGAAAGTACAGGCTCATAATGGGTTTCAGAAGGAGTAAACTCACCTAGAGGAGCAACCTGTCCATGTGCCTCTTGTGCTGGTGTGCTGAGATTTGATTCTGTGGAGAGCAGCATGTATCGGTGTTAGTTTCTCTCATGAAGTGCTCCTGAACTCAAAATACAAACTAAGACTCAAGTTCTATATTTGCATAACCGCAATAGGAATGCTGCATTGGCTTGTCATGCAGTGTACAGAAAGGTTGTAGAGTGGGCATGATGTCAGCAAGGAGCAAAATGAGGTTATTGTGTCTTTCTCCTCATAGGAATCCATATTACATAAGGCAAGGCATTTACAGAGGCCTTGCAAAACACACAGAGCATGTCATGGCAATAAGACATCAATAGTGGGAGGCATATTTTACATAAATAAAACAGAACAAAAGTAAAAAAAAAAAGATCAAGAAGTCTCAGTTCAGACCAGAGATCCAGAGCAAAATGCACACTTAAATGTATAACTGGCTCAGATTTAGTCAGGGTTTTTTATGTTGATCATAGAAACATAATGCTTGCAACAGCAAGCAAACAAAACAGCCAACTCAAGGTCAGCCAAAGTCTATTTTATAGTAGCTTACAATCAAAGGCTTCACTTCAACTCTCAACTCGATTTTCTAAATCCAAGTCTCCTTTTAAAAGTGTACATTTGTGAGTGTCTGTAAGGGTGGTGGTGCTGGGGGGGGGGGGGGGGGGGGGGTTTATAAGCCCATGCCAGGTCTACCTCTATGCTCAGAGAGCAAGAGAGAAAGAGTGAGTGAGTGAGTGAGTGAGAGAAGGCCTGGCGCCAGTGAGTGGGTGAGAAATAATCAGCAGGATTGTTAGGCAGAAAGGGAGAGGATCAGCACTGGGGGCCTCTGAGCTCCACGCTCCATGCATTACCGCACAAAGATAGCCTCTGTGCTCCTGATACGTGCACACACGACTGAATAAGGCTTCTCCTTAAGAAATTGCACATTGTAGGTGGAATTCATCACTCTTCACAGATGTATTGTTTGTTTGCGGCTGCAGCTGAGCTAAGACCTCCTCGGGTTTATTATGTCCAGGTATCTCAAACAAACTGGGCCATGTTTGATGATGAAAGACAATAAATTTACATCACAGACATCTGTGAGTCTCTGGGCTCCGACTGTCACAAACAAAACTATAAATATCTCACAGAGGGTTATCAAAGGTTGCAGAATGAAGGAAACCATTGCCCCCTGGAGGAAACTAAAGGACACTCAGACTTGAAGAAAAGATTTAAGAAGTCAATAAACTGTGTCCCGTAATAAAAGGTTGTGGTGCAGTGTATAGCAGGTTTAAATGTCAATGTTCCTTACCTGAAATAAATGCATAATGAGGCCAGCCCAAAAAGTCCAGTCCAACAGGTGTGCTCTGGGAGAAGAAGTGGTCTTTGAGGGGAACAGAGGGGAATTGCTCCGTAGAAGTGAGAGAAAGTCTAGCGTGCAACTATGGATGAGACAGAAACATACCCATTATGAAGAAAAAAACCTCACTATTATTAATAAAAGTTCTAATATGTAATAATGATAATATAACACATGCCCATGAAAAAAAAAAAACGTTTTGTCTTTTTTTTTTAATGACTCAAATTAGTCTGAGCTCATCTGATAAACATTGATTTTTGTGTATTCAGGCAAAACACAAGAAACGGAAGACAAGTCGGAAATCCTAAAGAAACTACAAGGGAATGATTCCAGGAGTACAATACAGGAAGAAAGCAGAACAGGAGAAGAGAAGGTGCAGCGGGAGAAGGTAATGGCTCGGTGGTTCTCCATTTTCGACGATTTCCTTACTTTCTTGTGCTTCTCAGATGTTGGCGTGCTAAGCTGGCGCAAACTTCGCTGAATGCTAAGCTTCTTTTTATGGGTGTTCTCCACGTCAGTCAACGTTTCAAATGAGCATGAGCGTAGATGTGCTTCGGTCGAATTGTTCTTCCTTTCCAGGTCAAGCGCTACCTCTCTGATGCCCTGAAGAGACATGGTCCAACCGTAGAGGTCTGAGATGGGTCTGGGTGCAGCTGTACCCTGCTCTCTAGACTTCACCCGAAGCACACATGCATTTCCTTGTTGTCTTCTCTCTGCTGACTGGATGGCTGGATCAGTACTCCGCTGTACATGCTTTGAGTGCAAATTTAGGTGGTTATTGTACATGTGTCTTTTGATGGATGCCCACTGAGAGATGAAGTTTGTCAAATGTTGACTTTTGGTAATGTTAACAAGTTAAATGTATACATAAGCAAGATATTTACACTGCATCAAATTGTTGCTATTCTTTTTTACTTCTCCAGTTAAGACATCATTATGTTGTAAAGAATGCATCTTCAAATACTTGTGTATTTTGTCTGCACTGGCAGATTTATTCACTTGTTTTTACTACCATTCAAAAGTTTGGGGTCAGTAAGAAATTAGAACTTACACATATGTTAAAAAAGATTTATATTTCATATAAATGCTGTTTTTGTTTTCAAATAATCCTTATCAAATGTATCACAGCTTCCACAAAAAAATTAAGAAAAACAACTGTTTTCAACATTGATATAAGAAATGTTTCTTGAGCAGCAAATCTTAGACTGATTTCTGAAGGATCATGTGACACTGGAGACTGGAGTGATGATGCTGAAAATTTAGCTTTGCATCACAGGAATAATTTGCATTTTCTTTGAGTTTCAAACTTTGAAACTGTTGTGTATAAAAAAGTTCAATACAAGTGAAAAAAATTGCCAATGCATTAGACAAAATACAGTTATATTCAAGATACAACCTATTAAAAAACAATCCTTAAAAAGTGTTGCTTCAAGGAAAAAAAAAGGAAAAAAGAATTTAAATCTCATTTAGGATTTTGCAGTGTAGGCTACACTTATTGAAAGGGTGCACTACATTATTGTGCCATAGATACAGCATACGAGCAATGTGATCATCCTTGATTCCTTGCAGGCCACTAGATGGCAGTATATTTGAGAAGTGCACACATTTCACAGAGAGGCTCTTTAGTATTGTGACTTAAACATAACAACCCTTATAATTTCCTGGCTGGCCAGCTCAATAACAGAGAGCAGGAATGCATTTTGAAAAATGCACCATAACAATCCACTTATGATTTCATGTATGAAGAAGAGTCTTGGGAAAACTCAAACTTGAGTAGGATTACTATACACAAATAGCAAAATACAGAAAGTAAGAAAACCATATAGCACTCCTGCCTAAAATGTTCAAAGGACACATTTAAGCTGTCCTAACATCATAAACTTCCTAATTTACTTTGACTTACCTCTGGTTTGTTTATCAGGGATGCTGAATTCAGGCTATTCTGAGAATGGCTGTCTGAACTGCTGTCCTCTAGTAAGTATTCGGAATCAAAAGACTGGGTTGTAGTGAGTTGCGCTGTCCTTGGTTTCAGAGACCTCGGCCTCTGAGGTGGATCGGAGAGGCCGTCAGTGCTCACTCCCTGACCGAGCGAGCAGAGAGAGGACGCAACGGATCTCGAGGGGTAACGGAAGCTCCTCCGTTGTGTCCAGCCCAGAACAGGACTGTGAGGTTTGGGGCTCATGGGCCTTGTCGGACTATCAGTGTTCTCGAAACAGCTGAGAGACCTGGTCCAGATAGGTGACATCTGGGTTGCGAGTGCAAGAACATTGGGGTTTACAGGTGACTGCGACCTATCCTCTACATTGGACTCAAAGCCATCTACTGAGGCCTGATCAGAATCTGAGGAAGTGGCATAAGGCAGCTCACCTCCTTCCAGACATGTACTGTCTTCAGACGGTTCCTGAGGTGCAGATTCCAAACTCTGCGGGTCAAAATGGCATGTGTTCCTTAAACTCTTTTGGGAAGCTGGTGAGCTGTTAAGTCTGGACCTGTTCTGAGGAGCACAGAAGGCACAATCAATATGGCTCTGATGTGTGGACTTGTCACAGACCGCCCCCGGAAGCGATAGAGTTCTTTTGTAAAGTTCTGCTTCCTTAAAATGTTTCATCTTCCTCCAGGACTGCTTGGTTTTCACCTCCTCATTCTCAGACTGCAAGATCTGTTCCTGGTTGTCCCTCTCAGGATATCTGGACTCAAACAGGCTAGACAGAGACTTGTGAGCCATTGCGAGCTTCAGGCGTAAGTTTAAGTTATCGGTACTCTTGCTTCTTTTTTGTTGCAATCCCTCTGTCCTTGGGGAAGCTTTAAAATTCTGTGCATCGCCATCTTTGTGCTGCTGCAGCTGATTCAAATTTTGGGATTGTGTATATTTCTCTCTACTCTGCAAGTTAAAAGCAAAAGCCTTTTCAAAAATGTCATCATTGGAGTGCTCAGAAAACTTTGTAATGTCTGTGAGATGATCTGTACTTTGTGAAAAATGGGTCTTGTACAGCGAAGTTTGGGAATTGTTATGTGTGAGTGACCTACTGTACTTTACTTCGTCCCGTTCATCTCCTTCCACATTGGAGTCCTTAACTTCTGGATCAACCTTGTTATTGCCTTTGTGTTCTCGTTTGGTCTTGCGGAATGAGGGCATTCGAGAAAAAACAGAAAACATAGATCCCTTCCCTGATTGGGTTCTCTTATTTCTCGCAGAACCACGAAGACTAGACGATGACTGAGTGCTGTCCTCTGTCTCCTCACTGTTAGTACTGAAGTCAAGGTCTTGTGACACAGAACTGGAAACACTATGGCCATCACTGCTATCAAACTCATTTGATAAAGAGCTCATTGTTTCTCCAGCATCTGGTTCATTCATGACAACGGCTACATTGGCTTTTGTACGCATGGCAGAAATGTTGTCATGTGGGCGGTTTGTAACGTCATCAAAAGAGCTCCATTTCTCGTTGAATACACCTTCTGATAATGGACTTCCTTTCTGTTCCTCCTCCAGTCCATTCTCCAACACAAATGAGCTCTCCAGTGAACGGTCTGACTCCAAAATAGCTTCTAAATTAGTGATGGGTAAAATTCGACAACATGTTACAAATGCGCCTTCGATCTTAGAGTTGTGCCGTTGCAAAGACTGCTTAAAAAGAGCATCAGACTTTTCATATAATGAATCAGTGATTTCAGGAGAGTTTGTTGTGAATGTTTCAAGTCTTCTCTCCATGTTTTCTAATGCATAAGTATCATCGACCTTGAGAGAGCCACTCAGTGGTAATTTGTTCTCCTCTTGGGCAAGCTCTGGGTGTTTGTGTGCAAGCAAATGGACAGTATGTGAAAATTCACAATTTGTAGAGTCTGAATTAACCTCACCATGTGTGCTGTAATGGTCATCTGTGTTTGGGGGACTCAAGGTTTGCAACACTCCAGTACTGCTCTGACTGATGCCGTCTGTGCCCTTGAACTGAAATCCTCCCGCTGCCTGCTCTCCCTCCACTGAAGACGAGTGCAGCTGGCACTCCTTCCCATTATGGCAATCACAGAGCTGCTTTTGTGTAACATCTTTGTGGCTGCTACATGCATTGAAGTCTGAAGGTTTCTGAACATTACCTTTGCTGTACATTACAATATTCATTTCAGGTGCTTTGAAGGAGGAAGCCCGACCAGCCGGGGCACTAAAAGATTCACTATCTTTGCAATCACCGCCCTTTGAGACTAAACATCCAGCATTATTAGTAGATCTGCTGTATTTTTGCAAAGAACTAGGCAACGACATTTGTACACTTGAGGCACAATCTGCTAAAGTAATGGATTTAATGTTATTATTCGTGTCTGAGCTGTATTCATGGTTTCTACTGTTCAGCTGAGAATAATCAAAAGGAGTGAAAGGATCAGAACATGCACTAGACAAAATATCAACATCTGACTCAATTGTTTTAACCGACTCATTTTGCCTTGTTTGTTTGTCAGATAGGGTGTTGGGTCGGTGAAATTGTTTGGAGGTCTCTGTATATTCTATAACGCAATGCGCTAATTGTTTACAGTTCATTTGAAGGCCATCACTGAGCTCAAAGCAAACATCTGTAGGGCTGACTGGAGATTTTTCATACGAAATCTCAAACAGACTAGCCAAAGATTCGACAGGACTGTCTACTGGACACCCATCGGATTCAGCCGTCTCCATGTCAGGACACGCCACACTCAACGACTTGGGCCTAGTGTATTCTATGCATCCCAAATTGTCAGAGTAAATTACTGACTGTTCTATAGAGGGAACTATTGTACATTCTTTCTGGTACCCTTTAATATCGTGATGCATGTTGCTATCCTTCTGTGTTCGTTGTAAAATGTCACCATCTTTATTATCAAAACTTTTAGCGTTAACACAAACTTGTGTTTCAGGGAATTCACCCAGTTTGATAAAATTAATTCTACTATTAGGGCACTGATGGGTTTTGTAAAAATCTGCCTCAGGCTTATGGTCCTCCGAATATGTTTGCCCACTTTCCTGCACACAATAACTGTCCATATGATATCTACTAACTGAGTAATCTTCTTTTTCACTGTGCATTTGTAATACTGGGCAATTTTGGTGAACACAATGAGTTATGGCCTGCAGATCTGACTGTTCTGATGTCCAGTCATTGATCAGATGCTGATGCAGTGAATTTGACGCTTCAGCAGAAGTTGCATTAGGCACATTTGAGAAAGCTCTCTCAGCTGCAAAACACTCATTTTCCGAAACAACAGGAGTGTCAGTTAAGTCCTGCTTTTTGAAATTTAGACTTTCATTCTTTTCAAAGTTCAAATCAAGTTCTTTGTCAGTGTCCTTTGATGAATGCCTTCCAGATGTTTTCAATGATTGACTGACTTGACAGTCCATGCAAATGTCCATGCAGTCCTGTTTTAATTGTCCCTTTTCATAAGCCACTGTGTTTGAAATAAAACCAGCCTTACTGAAATCAACCTGTGATTGTCTGTCTTCCACTGAAGACTGTAGTTGGCTGTGTTCCAGTGAAGTATTTGATTGGCTGTTCTCTATGGAGTTCTGTGATTGGTTGTGTTCTGAATCCTGTGATTTCCTGTGCTGTACAGAATCCTGTGATTGGCTGTGTTCTACTGAATTCTGTGATTGCCTCTGTTCTGATGAAGTGTGACTGTGTTCAGCTGAGTCATGTGATTGGCTGTGTTCTATCGAATCCTGTGATTGGCTGCATTCTACAGAATCCAGTGATGTCCTGTGTTGTACAGAATCATGTGATTGGCTGTGTTCTGATGAAGTGTGTGACAGACTGTGCTCTACTGAGTCCTGTGATTGCCTCTGTTCTGATGAAGTGTGACTGTATTCTACTGAGTCATGTGATTGGCTGTGTTCTATCGAATCCTGTGATTGGCTACATTCTACAGAATCCAGTGATTTCCTGTGTTGAACAGAATCCTGTGATTGGCTGTGTTCTGATGAAGTGTGTGACTGACTGTGTTCTACTGAGTTCTGTGATTGATTGTGTTCTATTGAATCCAGTGATTGGGAGCATTCTACTGAGTCCTGTGATTGGCTGTGTTCTATTAAATCCTGTGATTCTGAGCATTCTACTGGGTCCTGTGATTGGCTGTATTCTACAGAGACCTGTGTTTGGCTGCATTCTACAGATTCCTGTGATGGACTGCATTCGACAGAATCCTGTGACTGACTGTGTTCTATTAAGGCCAGTAATTGCCTGTGTTCTACTGAATTCTGTGATTGACTGCATTCCATAGAACCCTGTGATTGACTGTGTTCTACTGAATTCTTTGATTGGCTGCATTTTATGGAAGCTTGTGATTGGATGTTTTCTGTCGAGCCCTGTGAATTGCTATGTTCTATTGAATTCTGTGATTGGCTGTGTTCTATTGACTCCTCAACTTTCTGTTCAATAGGCTTCTGAACTGATAAAGACTCATATTTAGAAAAATGCCGTGAGACAGATAAACTGATCTCATTGTCATCAACATTTAGCTCATCATGTTGAGTGTTTGATTTATTATGTTCAGCATCTGTACTTTTCACAACGGATGCAATTATCTCTATTTCAGTGTTACTAGTGTCAACATTTTGCTGTAACTCTTTCTCACTTGTGAACTGTATGTGCGGCTCACTGTATCCTGATTGAGTGTCCATGATATTTTTGTTGATTTGTTCTAATTTAAATTTTCCATCAAAGGTGTCAGCAAATTGAGACTTGGCTCCATCACTTTCTGTTAAGGTGAATAATGAGTCTTTAGCACTTGGCTCACAGAGTATTTGTGGTTCTACAGTGTCATTTAATTCCAGTAGGGGTGTTACTACATAGGATAGGCCATTCCTTGAAGAAGAATCAAGTACAGGTCCCGCTGGAGAATTGCTGATAACCTCCCCACAATCTGGACCACCTTTAGCATCAGACATTCCAGTGCCATCAACCCACATGTGTATCATCTCCGTATTTCCAGTCTGTGTTTGCAATTGCTCAGTGGTCCAACTGTGACTGTCAAAAACAGCAAGGTGGCTTTTTGCTAAAGAGGGATTTCTCTCACTAACTGAAGGAGAGGGTTTGACTAATGGAGAGTGTGAGTCCAGATGACCCACAGAGCAAGAGCCGGTCTCATAGCTGAGCGACGTCCTGCAGCCATTCTTAGTTTCATGATTGGGGTTAGATGAAGTGTCACTGTGCCACGAGTTTGTGTCAAAATATTCCTCTTTTGTATCCTGTGCTGCTTCAGGAACCGGCTCACACCATTCCTGATGGTCATGTTGCTCTCCATGGTCCTCCTGCTGAGACTCCCCATCTTCCAGACAACCTCCTTCACTCCCAGAGTCCTCTAAAGCTGGGGCCTAGGAGGAAAAAGAGAATATGTTCATTGTTTTCCTGTTCTTAACAAAAAGGAGACTTGGTCTCACTTAATTGAAGTAAACAGTTTATAAGTTACATCAGTGAGGCAATTCAAAATAAGAGTTAAACAATCCGTTGAGTATTTTTTTTCCCGATCTGCAATCAATTTAACTCTAAAGAGCAGCATATGTTTGTGAGGTTAACCACATAGGTATGATAATCATTCAATTACATCTTACATTCTTTCCCCCTTACACCTGGAACTAATGTGTCACTCAACATGCTCTGCTTCATGTAGTTAAATCAAAGCCTTTTAGAGAGCATCTGCTTATATGAAGCATCTGAACCATTAGCTCATTTGTTCAAGGGATAATTTCCAATGAACAAAATTATGCATGATGATGAACAGACTCAGATGTAATAACACAGAAGAGGATAACAGATTGTATGAGTCATTAACATCATATTAGCACAAACAACAGAGAACAAAAATTGATGGAAAAACGCAGCTAATCAAAGGTAGATGACAGCAAATCAACAGACAGCGTATCCTATAAATCAAACCGTATATCAGTTAATGCAGAAAGATGCATTTAGCCAGTTGGTGTAGTTACAAATGTCTATCAGTAGGGGCTAACTGGACCATGCTTACCAGGAAGAAACCTTTACCCCTTGAGCTCTTCTCATGGTCAGTATGTAGTGGAAAGGGACGGGACCTTCCACAAGGGCAGACATTTGTGCCGTCATCCAGCTTAGAGAAACCATACAAACAATCCCCTAAGAGGACCACCAGCCAACCAGCTGTTTGCAGCACAACGACAATCCCTTCTTATCGGACTCATAACCCACTGGTCTGTCTTCCATTAACCAGGTCTCTAATCTAGTGAGTTCAAAAGATTGCAAAAGAAAACACCAGGCTAAGCTAGGCCAGCTAATGGTTCTGATGTTTTAAGTAACCTACAAACATCAGGTTCTGAGAGGGAGAGAGAAGAGATGAAAGCCTCCATCATACCCTGCTTGTGCTTAAAGTCCCACTCCGATCATATTTTTAGCTATTTTTAAACATTCCCAGTGGTCTTTAAATTATGATTATGCCATTTTTAGCCAAAATCACAAAACCTGTGCCGTTTTCTGGGACTTCGCTTCAGCAGAGCGGCAGTAGCTCATTAGCAATTCGCCTCTGCGTTGTGGGCGGAGCCGTTGGCACGGAGACGACCCTCCCCCTGCCCGTTGCTGAGAGCTCTGTCTCTCCCGCTAGCTTACACCCCCAATACCGGTGGGGCAACAGTATTATATACACGTTAATTATTATTATCCGAAGTTAATCAAAGTTATCCCCGATCACCGATCAAGATTTCACTCCAAGACGTCGCGTGTGGAGACGCCCAGTGGAGTTACTACGTCACAACTCCAGTCTATTTTAGCCGGCATTTTAGCGTCTGCTACTGATTCACAGCCATTTGAATGTAGAAATACTCAGAAATACAACTTTGAGCTTATTTTTCTCAAGGTATGTCCTCTAACATCAGAAAAAAGCCACAAGAACATGTTAACACCTAGAAAAACATTATTTTCATCGGAGTGGGTCTTTAAGAACTGAGGGGTCATTAGGCACAGCACATCTCCAGCTAATCCCACCAGGTCAAGCCACTCCAAACCCTTCATGTTAAATGAGGAAGGACACTAAGAAGAATGGCTTTAAGAACAGCATGGTATCAAAGAGGAGAGTGCCAAACACTTCTGCACAGCCTTTTTCAAGGTAAACAAAGCTTGAATACTATTTTTGGAAATATTCAAAGTACAGGAATATATGGTAACCCATGCACTATTTAACTTGTACATATGCAAATGAAAATATATTTATGCAAATAAATGTAAATGTTAATCTATGCTAAAATATTTATATTGTATTTTTTAATTTTTTCCTTTTCTTTCTTTCTTTACTTCATGCATGATGCCGTTTTCTCGTAACCTGTTGTAGGGATGTAAACTTGAACTCCCCAATGTTCAATATCCTATTAAAGGGATAGTTCACCCCCCAAAAAAAAAATGATATCGGTAATTACTCACCCTCATGTTGTTCCAACCCCGTAAGACTTAATTTCTTAAATATCTTAACTTAAAGCAGCACTAAGTAGGAATTCCGTTTTTGTCAAACAGCGACCCCTAGAGTCGCTGTGGAGTACTTGTACTGTCGTGAATAGCACTCACACAGAGATGGCTCGCACTCACGGCCAGATCCCCCCCCCCCTGTACACCGGTACCTGTTCAGTAGGATGGACGCTGTAATGAGTGGAAATAACCACATGTATATGGCGCCAGGTTATTTCTGTTTAATGCATCTTTTTTTTTTTTTTTTTATCAGATCTGTTTTTTGCCGTAAAGCAATTCGTTACCTCGCGAGACCTGATATCACACGATACTTTCTAACACTGGCTCGCCGGCCCAAAGTTGCAAGGGTGGTTTTGCGGCTCACAGGCACCAGGGGGGTGCGAGACGACCACCATTCAACACGAAATCAGTAATATAAACATTACAATGACTCCAAAGCTGTTCGGTTAAGGTAAAAAAGTTACTTAGTTCACCTTTAAGATATTTTTGATGAAATCTGAGAGCTGGATCACTCCTCCATAGGCTTCTATTGTAATTTAAACCTGCCGGCCAAGAAAGTTATTAAAGACATCGTTAAAATAGTCCAAGTGACTACAGTGGCTCAACCTTAAGTTTATCAAGCGACGAGAATACTTTTTGTGTGCAAAAAGAAACAAAAATAACGACTTTATTCAACTATTCATTTTCTGCTATGTGGGCCTCTGAGTTCACGTAGTGTAACAGCGCAGCGCTACGTCAAAACGTAGTAGGGCTGTCAAAGTTGTAAAAGAAATGGACACAGCGACCCCGTTGATTTCAACAGAGAGAGTTGAAGCCCAACATGGGCACTCACTTCCTGATAGCCAAGCGTTCTGCGCAGGCTCAAACTGAGCTTGACGACGTAGTTGTCATGTGAGCAACCGTTCTGACCTTCTAGTAGCTGTGCCGGGACAAATCTGAATTGAAATCTGAAACAAATCTGTTGCTGAAATATTTTGTCCCGTTGCTTTTATGAACTCTCTATCTATGGGCTTCTCCCTTGACTTTATGCCTCCATGTCCACCCGATTGCCTCATAGACAGTGAACGATTGCCTACGAGCTTCTACTTCTGTCTATACGGTGATTTCTCTACTGTGCGACAGAGCGTCCCGTGGTTATGACGCAATCGTTAGCCTATTTTTACAAGAATGGCTTCTACGGGGCCATAACGTAAGATACAAAGTAATGGAGCCCTTTATACATTGTCGTGTTTCTTTAGAAATAAATAATGGACAAATGGAGTCTTTGGACGCCTCAGATGTAAAGTTATTCGCTGTCAAAGTGACGCCAAAATGAATGGGAGTCAATGGGATGCTAACAGCAGGTGATAGCCAGCTACAATGGCGGCCCCCGGAGGCAGCTTCAACTTCCGGCTGATGGATTACCCCCTTGGGTAAACTGCTGCTAGCTAGCCTGCTACTATGGCTATTTCGAGGGCGTCTGGCCACGCCCCCTTGGCGGGCTCTGACGTGTCTGATGTAATGCTAGCTCATTGGCGCACACGTTGGAGGCGCACACGTTGGAGGCGCCCGTGCCATTGGATGTGCAGTTGCCGCAGCACAGCCAATGAGTGAACCAGACACTCACTGTGCTAGCTGTGCAGCTGGAAAATGCGTTTTACATTTTAAGCTTCAGAATTTTGCCACTCGCAAAGCAGACAGCCGCGCCTCTGCTACCGCGCGCGTGTTTTTCCACATGATTCGAATATTAATTTTCACCTTCGAATTTCTGTTTTTTAAAACTATTCGAATATATATTCGAATTTAGAATATTCGTTGACAGCCCTAAAACGTAGGCTAACTATTAGCCAGCATCACACTCATGACCAACACCAGCAAATAGTGAGCCTACGTTCTGACGTAGCGCTGCGCTGTTACACTACGTGAACTCAGAGGCCCACATAGCAGAAAACTAATAGTTGAATAAAGTATTTTTGTTTGTTTTTTGCACACAAAAAGTATTCTCGTCGCTTGATAAACTTAAGGTTGAGTCACTGTAGTCACTTGGACTGTTTTAACAATGTTTTTACTAACTTCTGGGCCGGCAGGTTTCAATTACAATAGAAGCCTATGGAGGAGTGAGACAGCTCTCAGATTTCATCAAAAATATCTTAATTTGTGTTCCGAAGATGAATAAAAGTCTTACGGGGTTGGAACAACATGAGGGTGAGTAATTACTGACTGAATTTTCATTTTTGGGTGAACTATCCCTTTAACTAAACATATAGGCTAACACTTGTTTGCTAGCTAGTAGTACAGCATAAGTCAGAAGTAAAACCTGTTCTCATTGGCAGATGGAATGACCTCAGCCAAAAACACAACGTCACCTGACCCCATTCAGTAACCAGAGCTTGTTTTGCCAAATTGATTACAGTTGAGTTACCTAAATGGCTTAACATCTTAACGCTACACCGTGGGCTGGGCAGGAGAATGGGGGGATTGGTTTTGCATTCAAGTGTGAATACAGTATATACAGTAGGTGTACGAGGTAAAGATAGAAAGACAGAGCCAGAAGAAGCACATGTGATCCTGCACAAAAGGACTGCTACTGACCCTTAAAGCCACACTTGACCCACAACATAAAACCATTCACAGTCCTTCAGCGTGGTTCATATTTTATTTTCACCAGGAATGTTACTCATCAACTCCAAGCACTCTTTATATAGACACTTCTTGTCAAAAAAAGTTGCCGACCCCAATTAGTATCTTTTATTACATGTCATAATATACGGTACTTGGTGTCAAGACTTTCGTGGGTGAAATTTTTATTGTTTTTGAAAAATGTATCTTAAGCTAACTACGGCTGGATTTATTTGTTAAAAAATACAGTAAACAGTAATATTGCGAAGTATTATTAGAATTTAAAATAACT